TATTAACTACTCTACATATTGCATTGTTGATTATTGTAAGATTGATTATTGACTTGCTAAGCTATCTTCACCTAAACTCTTAAAACCTTACAATGTATATGTGTTTTTCGAAAATATGGATATCATATATTATGGTGTGAAAAACTAGTTCTAGAGTAAATGTGCTGGAAACTCTAAAAGCATAACCATGTTACGAATAAATTGCAAGTTATGAAGCTGGACGAGATGGTATTGTATAATAAACAACGGTCCGGCCCTTTTACGTATTTTTGTCCTAATTAAAAATAATGGTGCTCTCCTCAAGAGGATTTTTAGCACATGCACTCTTCAATAAGTAAAAAATCTTGTCTTACTTTTACCATGTCTTTGTGTGTGTGTGTGTTTGTGTGTCTGTTAACGCGGTAACTTGAGTGAATCTTTGTAGGGAGGGTTCAACATAGCGGTGTTTTGTGGGTCAAAAATTAGTTTTTCCGATTTTTAACTCTAAAGTCATACAATATCTCTATTTATTTCCAAACAATTTTGTAGAGTTTAATTTAAAATCAAATCAGGCAAATTGAAATCCGCTTATTCTGCAGGTTTGCTGCGGTGGGGGTATTTTTTATAAGGATCTTGGTTAAAACACAAACTACCTATTTCGAATTGTGTTTGTAGAGGCAAATAACGGTGTTCAAGTGGCTATTTAGTCATTCAGCAGAACGTTACCCGAGAAGGATTCTGTACATAACTAATATAGGTTCATATTATTTGTTTATGGGTTATTGAGTAGTTGTAGTACTCCCTTGTTTAAAACAGAAGGTTGCTGGTTTGATTCTGAGTCGGTAGCTTTTGGTAACCTTAAACCTTACGCTGAGTATTTTGCATTTAACTAGTTGTTACATAGATGTTAAGACCAAATAGGTGACTTAATCCGTAGCACTTATGTTATTGATGATTAAAAACACGTCTTAAAATCAACTTGGCATTAATACGTACTTTGGTGTGAACCATGTGGGCTTGTTACTTCGTGTTTAAGAAGAAATATGATCTAAACCATCTAAGAACTGTTATTAATTATACTGGTTTCCTTTACTAATTAATTTATGTATACCTAATTTTTTCTAAACACTACCTAACTTTTGTCTAAATGTACCTACCACTACAGAAAAATATATAAAAAAGGTAATATAAATTAAGTTTTGAATCAATTAAAGATACAATAATGTGGATTACAAAATGAAATAATATATAATATCGGTAAAAAAAATACTACATTAACCATAAAGACCAACCATATGTTTAACGGTCTACACGATAGTAGGGGTTTTCAAACATGTCATGCAATATTTTTTTCAGGCGCAACGTATCCCGTCTCACGACTGGTTCTATTGAATTGTCTACATCGATGGCTTCGTCATTTCACCCTCCATGACTTCTCATCTCTTTTTACCTGGGATGTCGTAGGAATAATAGTCTCTTACTTAGAAATTGAAACCTCTACAAGTATAAGACATCGTTATAGTATATAAAACCTCTGTGAGCATTATTATTTTTTTAATAAGCTGGTTTTACATGATGTTGCATGCACATTAAATCAGAATTGTGTGTAATCAGTTGATCAATGTAAAAAGAAAAAGTTTTAAAACATCGTCTTTTAGCTTAGATAAGGACCCTGTACAAGTTTATTTAAATTTATAAACATGACTGATTAATTTGGGTTCGATCTTGTTTACTAATAAAATTTGCATACTCTCGTAGTCCATTTATTTTTCAGCATTCAAAGCTTCGAATTCCAAAGGCAAATAAATTAGATAAATTTATTAATAATAGTATTAGGCGTTTCAATTATTTTAATAAACAATAGTTTAAAGTTTATTATAATTAATTAAGTTTATTATTAATTAGTTTATTATTTTCATTTATCTTAACAAAATAGTTTATGGATACTAATTCACTATAATATACATTACATAACTACTAGAATATATGGATAATCATATATAGAATATAGAATAATCACTTGAATATATGGATATACATTGCAGCTGATTAACATACACTAGTATATGCTAATACCTTGTTTGTACGCTTGTCTATCTCCATGTTACATTATGCACTCTAGTAATTCAATATACCATCTTTATAGTGATTGGAAGAATATCACTTTTAGCTCAAGGTTCAACACAAGTGTTTTAGAATGTATAACAAAACTGAATTTTGTAACTAAAGCACAACTTTGTGTTCGATGAGAAAACAAATCGTTAGTAAATTTTTATCGGAATAATATATTTTATGTGTAAATTGACTTTGTAGCCTTTTGTTATGATATTAATCCGGCTTTAAAATTTACTAGCTCTTACCCCGTTTGACTTAAAGGTATTAATAAACCTATTGATTGGTTAAGTTAATCTGCAATAACAGAATACAGTAGTACGAACAAATAATAACACCTGATTTTAATAAGGTAATAAATTGAAAGAATAACATACAAATAACTACACAGCTGAGGTACTTTTAACATTAGGTATATGGAAAGTTCCCTTTAGAAAGAAATTACGACCTTAAAGGGCAATTTATGAAAAAATGGATGGTTTTGCGCAAGGTTTCTCGTCATGACGAACATTTTAAGTGTATGGGGGTGTGACTTGTAGTTTTCTCAAAAGTGCATGGGTACTTTGGGCTTTATATATATGGATATTAATGTGAACTGTATCATTTCAATATACTTGCCTTAGCCTTACTAGGGACTCCACCGCGAATCCCCATAAATCCCCCTAGCTTGCTAGGGTAACAAAAATATTTATAACTTCGTATTTTGTTTTTTATAAATAAATTACTTTAATAGAGTTATAGCATTTTAGAAAGGTTAGGGTATCAAGGAGTAGTAGTTAGTTTGCTTTTACGTAGAGCATTGTTAAGGAGGTTTCTACAATCTACAAACCTTTGCTAACTTGACAGCTTAGCTGGACACCAAAATTAGTCATAGACTCTTGCAGTGCCATTCCATTTGCTCTAAGCTCATATTAAGCTATTGTTTAGCCAAAGATATTTTTTTAGAATTTTGGTTCACGTGAAATAGTTCATTTGGCAAGGGGGTTTCATGCAAAGACATAGTTAGGACGATTCTGTATCATCAGCCTCATTATAACCTGACGAATGTGTTTAGTATAACCCGCAGATATTTTTCAGCGTAACTTGAATGTTTCTATGTGGTGGAAGAGTCCTCGAGGGAGCCTTTGGGTAGTTTAGTTGGGAGGGGGTGTTGTGATTGTCATCCACCTCAAAAGAGACAAAATACCCCTCCATAATTAACCCTAAATATATCTTGGTGATGGCAACGTTTAAATCATATTTATTTTATATTTTTTTGTTAAAATGTCTGGAGAAATGGCTTTGGACAAGAGCTTTTCCATTGGAGAAGAGCGATGAGCGTTTTTAGAGAGGGGAGAGGTTTTCTCTCCACTGTATCGAATGCCTGTTAGTCTGCGTTGAAACTATGATTTAATCCTGGCTTTGATGAGTTTGACAGGTCTGAGCGCTTAACTAACTACTGGGATCAGTGAGGGGATTGTGTGATTTGAAAGTGAGAAACGTGGCTCGAATAAACTAATACCGGTACCTGAACTGCAGACTATCCAGATATAGTGAATATTCCTGAAAGCCCAGCACACAAGGATGTTTTAATGTGAGGTTAAGTAATTCACTAGGTGACCGATAAGTGAAATAATTTCAAGAGCTCATTTGTTTTTAAGTATAAAACTAATTAAAACATTGGAACCAAATCCAAGGCAAAGTTTAGCTATTCAAAATTCAATCTAAATTATCTTTCTCAAAGGTGTGTTGTAATACAGGAACACCATTACGTTTACAAACTAAATTTTCAAACTAAAGTTGTGGTACACAACTAACTGGTACGAACAGCTATTAACAGATTTAATGCTTTAAATATTTTACCTAAGATCGTTTTTTAAAGTAACTGTTTCATTACAGTTTTTACCTACGACCGTTTTTTAAAGTAGCCATTTCAGTACAGTTCTTAGAATTGAAAAATATCTCATAACAGCATTGTTTACATTCATAACAGCATAGTTTTACTCATAACATCACGGGTAACGGACCAATGAGGTTCGAGGATTGATAGAGAAGAAGTAAAATTATAATGATTCGAACTTCAACTTATCAGCTATTCAGGCCGATTTAATTGTTGGGTGGTGCAATTTATGTTTGGTACAATGTTTCGTTGCATCACGGTCAGTGGCAATAAGAGGTAAAAGTAAACGAAATTATCAGTTACACTAACAACAGGGCAATATCCCTGCTCAGTCAACACTGAGTAGGTAACAATCAGTAAACGAAAACATAACCTCTCTTAGAAGTTATGAGTAGTGATTTTCAGTAATTAAAACACTATCGTAGTTAAAGTAGTGTACTCAATTTGATTAAATAGTGTTAACGACACTCGTAGAAGTTTTTAAGGCACTTGTGTCGTCAACACCATCTTTACGCAATCGTTGCGTAAACTTTTGTTTAAAGTATCTAATCGTAGGATGTTATTCACAAGTGTTAAAAAAACTTTTTAAATTGACATAATGAAAATAGACTAAATTATTAAAAGGTTTCAAAAACAAGAGACGTGGTACATAGTACAAAACCACCACCTGTTTATTACCTGGATATCTGGCTCGTCATAGGGCCCTAGTAGTCAGAAGGTCCAGTTTATATTTTTGGGGAAATCAGTGTATTTGAATATCGAAAATGATATACAGTGTTTCATAATTGGGCTACTACTGTAATAATGGTTATTACTAATGAAACACTTAATCTACACAATGCTATACTCTAATCCATAGAACTATAATATTGAATAAACTTTTCCGTTAAAAATAATTGAGGTATGAAGTGTCAAAATGTCTATTAGATAAATTTAGATTAATTTTAACGCATTTATAATATATCAATAGACAAGAAACGAGTATATTTTAGTCAAGCTTTAATCACAACAAACAGTAAAACCTCAATAGTTTAAGAAAATATGCATCCGACGCCTGCTCTGTGTTTCACTCGAGCATTTTTCAAATCCACAGATGCATACTTCTCATGGTCCCTGGGTGGTGGCTGAGGGAGCCACTGGGGTGGTGGTTGAGGGAGCCACTGGGGTGGTGGTTGAGGGAGCCACTGGGGTAGTGGTTGAGGGAGCCACTGGGGTGGAGCCACCCACCAGCCCAGACCTAGCCGTGGCGACCACCTTGGCCAGTTGTTGCTCAGTGTTGTTGATCAGTCGCTTGACTGTCTCCTCTATGTTGTTGTTGTGGGTTCTCAGCGAAGACTCGACGCGGGTGTAGATGTTGTCCACTTGTTTCATGGCCTCCTCTACTTGCTTGGTAAGGTTGGTTTGGAAAGTCGTTCCGATCTAGGAAGTTTGGATAAGGATTAGCACTATAGAAATTAGACAATAGTTTATAACTCGTGCCAAAACGTTTGATGCATGCAACAATTCATTAGGTACTACGTGGTGATGCAATAGGTCTGTCCTAAATCTGCTAGACATGTGTTTTGTTTGACATAAGAAAAAAATATTTTAAGGTTATGAAATTAATTGAGCAAATTGAACATTCATAGATGGCTTGGGTGAGATTGGTTCAAACATCAATAATGAGAATGTAGTTAGATTTGTAAGGGTTGACAACTGTATATAGTTTCTAATCAAGGTTGGATGTTAAAAAAATCCAAAGTTGAAAATGGAATGCACATTTAACGCAGTCTTGTTCAGTTTTTGACCGTAAGTATTAATTTAAGTTAGATTGGACAGGACAGGAAAGAAGCCCAGTCTCTAAGAATAGATTGTCTATAAATCAACAGGACATGCTGTTTCTTTGAGAGGGAATAGCTAAATGTCAGGGGATACGCCTCCTCTTGAACATTTCTTTCCTATTTTTTTTTTTTTTTTATTTAAACCATAAATAGTATTTTATTTTACTTTGTTATAATGAAATATGAAAAAAAATAATCGAAAAAATAATTTCCTAACCTTGGTGTTTATAGCATTTAACTATTTCATCTCTTTTATAGGTTTAAAAAAAAATTTAATAACTTGTATGTTTTTTTTTACAGTTTTGCCTAAAATTAAAAATACTAATTCTACATATATATAATACAGGTTTTCAACTATGGAAATAGTCTAGCTATTATGTTACTTAAATTATTTTTTTTCAAATCTTTTAAAAGTTTAAATTTTAAAATTTTCATTTAACAACTTTTATAAAAAAATAATATACATGTAAAACGATTCCCATGATTAAAAAAAGCTACTAAATGTTATAAAGATAAAGTAGTAAAAATGTCATCACTCTCTCTTATATGGGTCAAAAGCTATTCAAAGTCTTGTGTTCGAAAACGGGAAACATTATAAGCGGCAAATGGCGTTTAAAATGTTATTATGAACAACTATCACGATTCGCGCGAGCGTACTAGAACAACAACAAAATAGGAAATAATTTTCAAAATGGTTTGAAATTTCACCCAAATATTTTTAAGAACATGTACATTAATTTAAAATTAAAAAAAAATATTCAAAACTAAACAAAACTAACCATTGCAGGAGGCGTATCCCCCTATTATCATAACGTAACTTTGAACTCAGTAAGCATTATTTTCAGAATCAACATACCTGACTGGCTTTGATCTGGGCATCGGATATACCCTTATTGATGTCATTTTTCAGATTTGTCAACAACAAACTCGCATTTCTTTCTGCATTCTGTGTCAAGATAGTAGCATTTGTCATCAGCTGATTAGTCAGAATCGCCAGCTGAACCCGCGCCTCTTGCACAACTCCGCTCGCCTTCGAGTCAAACTCTTGCAGTCTGGCGTTGTGTTGACCTGCGGCCGTGCTGATAGCCTGTCAGTGATGCAGTGGACACAATAAGAAACTAGGAAATGCTAACCTCTTCTAAAAGCATCCAATTTAGAATTTGCTATTCGAAAATAAAATCAAGGATAAAGTTAGCTGGTTTGATGGTCAAGAATGATTGTCTACGCAACATTTTTGAATTGGAAGATAATGATTTTTACCAAGCTATTCAAAGCACTTTATTTTATCAAAGCATGTCATAAGACTTTTACTGAACCACAAAAAGGAACCAGCTAGATTTTCAAGTGATGAATTTTGCATGCTGTAAAGTATTATCAATGTACGACATTACATTTTAAAAATAAAATTTGATTAGATTACTCTAAAAGGAAACGAGACGCGTTCAAAGACATCGACTTTCTTAGTCATATTACATAAAAAAGCAAATAATTACAAATTCAATTCGGCGTTTCACATTTTATTGCCTTTTGGATTTTCAATTCATTTTCTTTAGATTTAATTGAAATACTAAAGTTTTTTTTTAGTTTGTAACTGCATTTATTATACAATACAAAGTACGTTTCGTTATAGGACACTCAACATTGGATCTCTGTGACAATATTGCGGGTTACATAAATGCAGTTACTCACATCAATATGTTTGTAATTAATTATATTTCCCGACTAATACACACACAATGTAAACAGACACATTGTGTGGATTAATTACTGAGCTATGATTTAACTGTGTGTTTGTTAGGCCATCGTTAGTTAAAAAATGGACCTCGAGTTTTAATAGTTTGTTAAAAAATTCAAACATTTTAGCAAATACTAAATTACAATATGAAATACAAATACCTGGAGTATACAGGTGAGCATTAAGAGCGAAGCTATCGCCATCGCAGCTACTGTGTTACTACGTTGACAACATAGACCTCAACATTAAATCACCCATATCGATTTCCTCTTGTCCTTCGTGTTTCCATTGATTGTCTGTACACAATTATTCTCGATACCTATTAGGATAATCTGATTGAATAATACGTAAAGATATTCTGATCAAAAAATTTAGGTGGTTTGAGTGGACGTTCTCTCACTACATTTTTTGCTTAATGTACATGGTGCAACTGATCGACGTTTTGAAAAACCTCAGCTTTATTATTTTTAAGGGTCAAGTGAAATGGATAGATTTCCTACCACTAAACAGTTTAATTTGTTTAGATTCATGCGTATTATTATTTGTTAATCTAATATACCCTAATCAAAATTCAGAATTGATCTAAGGATAGTGTAATTTCGTATTAAGTCATATAGTCATAACGATTGAGATTACAGGGAAAACCTTATAATAAGCTATCGAGTATCAACAATATTTTTTATATACTCCTAAAAAAAACAGGTAAAGAACGTTTACTCTAGTACCAACCAATATTATCAGTAAAACGTGAACCAAAATTTTAAAAGGTGTAAAAATTGTTTTTGCAATAATGGTTGTCCAAACCAAAGAATCCTTTAATTAATGGTACCACGGTAGCAACACAAATATAATCTGACATTTGCTTTAATTTCTTGAAACCCCATCCAATGATTTAACTTTGGAAAAGCCTTGACAAAACATTCTTAGAAAAATAAAGACCTATGATTTTAGCCAAGTCACATATCGTATATTGCTAGCTTGATTTTTTTCAAACATTTTTAAAATCCCTTTTACTTTCTCCCCCTATACCATAGTATATGGAGAAAGTATTGTTTTCGTCAAAATTTTCGAGTTTGGGTTTTGAGTAGATATATTCGTTTTGGGTCCCACTGGACCCAAAAAAGTGGTTTTCGAAGTGATGTCTGTGCGTGTGTGTGTGTGCGTGGGTGTGTGTGTGTGTGGTTGTGTGAGAAAGTATATGTCAGAATGCTGATTCCGTTTATTTTCGTATTGATGTCCCCAGAGGCCAATAACACCATCCGTTTAAATTCATATATATACAGTGTGATTGGTACTCAGTGCGACAAAATTTGTTTTGGTGTACAGTAAGTACAAAGTAAATGAAGTGTGATGATACATATAAGAGGTTCCAAGTCTATAAATTAGCTTCTTAAAGAATTGTTATATGTTATTAAAAATAACTATAATAATACAGCGGTTGCTCAATTACCTGTATATGGATTTGAGTAGATAATGTCATTTTCTTGTTCTATATTAAATTTCAAAAAAAGAATAATAGAAAACAACGGAGGATCAGTAGTAAATACTCCATTGTAAATAGACTCAAAGAAAAAAAATTAGGTGTTTGATAACAATTTAAAAAACATTGGTCTATTGCATTTTTCTACACCCTGTATACAATAAGGTGGCCAAATATGTTAAAAACTGTACCATGTTATAAGCTTTCCAACCATATGCTACACTCTTGAGGTTTAGATATGCTTTTGTTTGTTATAGTGGTTTGAATACCAGAAAACAAGGAACCTTTTTGTTTTCACTGTTCAATCTGAAACAAAAATACAATTTATGTTTTAACTGTTAAAGACACCTTGTTTTGTAGTCTTCAAACCCCTAAAGCGTACATTAACAGAAATAAAGACCGATAGCACAGACAATATAATGCCGATAGTGTGGCATACGGTTGGAAAGCTTATAAAATGGCGCAGTTTTTTAACATATTCGGCCACCTTCTTGTATACAAGGTGTAGAAAAATGCAATAGACCAATGTTTTTTAAAATCTTTTATCAAACATCTTAATTTTTATCTTTGAATCTATTTACAATGGGGTTTTTAATACTGATCCTACGTCATTTCCTATTATTTATATTCGAAATTTAATGTAGAAGACGAAAATGACATTATCTACTCGAATTCATTTACAGGTAATTGATAAATTGCTTTATTAAGTTGAAAAACATGGTTATTTTCGAAAAGCTTAAAATAATTCATTAGGAAGCTAATTTTTAGACTTGGAACCTCTTATATGCATTATCCCACTTAATTTACTTTGTACTTACACGAAAAAAAATTTGTCACACTTAGTACCAATCACCCTGTATACAGGGTGTCCATAAAAAACGTTTCAGGACTTTGGGAAATGAATCCTCATACTAAAAGGAAGAAAAAAGTTTGTCTGGAGGTATGTCCGAAAATGCATATTTACCCAGTTATCCGCCATGTTGTTTTTTATACATAAATATTTTTATCTGTGAAGTTTTTCATTCGATGATTATGAAATTTGGCAACCATGTTAACATACATAAGACCTATTATAGAAAAAATAATAAAGTTGTTCCGATTGCAAATATTTTAAATGGCGGCCGTTTGAATTTTTATAACTTAAATAACTGAAAAACGGCTAATTCTATAAAAGAATTTTAAGATTAATTTTTTTAGAATTTTTAATTCCCTATCAAATGATACCAAAGTTAAAAAAAATCGGACAAAAGATAACTGAAATATAACGTTTTTTGTATAAAAATAAGGCAAAGTTAGTCGGGGAACCCTTAATTTTGCCTTATTTTTACACGAAAAACATTATATTTCAGTTATCTTTTGTCTGATATTTTTTATCTTGTTATCGTTTGATAGGGAATTAAACGTGCTAAAAGAAAGTATCATTGGCATTATTTTATGGAATTAGCCGTTTTTGAGTAATTTATGTCATAAAAACTCAAACGGCCGCCATTTTGAAATTTACAATCGAAACAACTTTATTATTTTTTCTATAATAGGTCTTGTGTATTTTAACATGGTTAATAAATTTCATAATCATCAAATGAGAAACTTCACAGATAAAATTATTTTTTTATAAAAACAAAATGGCAAATAACTGGGTAAATATGCATTTTGGACATACCTTTACGTAAACTTTTTCTTCCTTTTAGTATGAGGATTCATTTCCCAAAGTCCTGAAACGTTTTTTTTATGGACACCCTTTAAAAGCTATCTGTCTTCGGTTACTAAGATATGCCTTCAGCAGTTTTAAAGCAATAATTTGAACAGCATAAAACTCCAACTTATGGAGAAGGACATCATGATCGACACAGTCAAACGCTTTGCTGAGATCAATGAAGAGAGATGTAGAAGATGTTAGAGAAAGAAAAACTTTTTGAAATAAGATAAAAAGTGGGTAGTTTTGTCAGAGAAAGAAGCACCAAAGAAAAGAAGCCAGGAAATAAATGGACAGAAGAGAGGAAAAGAAGTCATGGAGAAATTATGAAAGAAGTATGGAAGAAACGATGTCAGAGTGCTTTGCGGGATCCGTCTGGGTCCATTCGCGATAAATAAATAAATAATATAGGAATTTGAATGGATGGTGTTTTTGTCCTCTGGGGACCTCAAAACGCAAAAGCAAATCGATCCCGGGTCCAGGTCATGCCATGAGTACTACGGTAATAGTTTATTCTCTATAAGGGAAATTTGCTATAACGGCCGCCATTTTGAATCGAAAAAAATATTTCTTGGTAATATTTTTTTTGAAACAACTTACTTTATTTCAAAAGCACACATTAAATTGAATATGGATTTTATAAATAGTTTTAATTAATGATTTAAAAATACCTTAACGAAATGGTGGATATCTCCCTAACTAAAAGTTTTTGGAAAAAACTTAATTCTTCATTTTCGTTTTATGTGTTAAAAGTTTAACTTGTTATAAAAGTTATTTTACTTACCTACGGGACATTCTGTGTATTTAGTAAATATATTTATGAAAAATACAATTAATTTTTCCAATCGTACCAGTAAATTTGCTTTTAGCGAATTTCCCATATAGGGAATAAGCTATTACCGTAGGTCTCATGGTAAGTCCTGGACCCGGGACCGATTTCCTTTCCATTTTGAGGTCCCCAGAGGCCATAAACACCATCAGTTCTAATCCATATATATATATATATATATATATATATATATATACAGGGTGGTGCAGAGAAACGGGAAATTTTGAAATAATCATAATAAACCAAGAAAAGTGTCCAAAAAAATCTTCAAAGGGGAAAATGTGTTGGTCAAGTGTGGAAAATTTATAAGAAATGTTGGAGGTAGGAATAATGTTAAAAATCTAATTTTAAAAATCACATCAGTTAAGTGCTGTCTTTTGGGCCTATTCGTTCAATCGATTTTGAAGACTTAGACAAACGTGTTACGTGTTCTTCGATCTGAGTCTTAAGCTCAATAAGATATCTTGGCCTAGTCAGGTACACCACGCTCTTTAGATGTCCCCATAGAAAGAAGTCGCACACTGAGAGGTCTGGAGACCGTGGAGGCCAAATGACGTTAGCGTTCTTTGAAAAGATGCGCTCCCCAAACGTCTCCATGCAGCCATTGACAGATTGGCAGTGTATGAGGTGGCTCCGTCTGGTTGAAACCTGGTTTGCTGGATTTCAATATCTGGAAAAGCATGAAGCCGTGGAGCAAAAAATGTCTCCAGCATATGAATGTAACGTTGAGATGTAACAGTTACAGTGGAAAATTAGGTTTTTTGTTATTTACGCAAAAACTAAAAGAGATACAAAGCAAGTGTATATTACAAAGTTGTTAGGAATTAAAAAACCGATAAAATGATGTGCCACTTGACATATGTTGCTATTTGACATTTTTGAAAAATGAGCATTTGCAAATTTTCAAAAATAAACATTTTTGGAATTTTTATAATTTCAAAAAACCGTTACTTGTAGCATATCAAAGTAAAGCTAATTTCATAACGAGTAAGAAAATTCAACCGTAGAAGGGATAAATGCATTGGTATAGGAAACACAGAGTATTAAAAAAATATAGATTTAAAAAAAAAAACTGCCGCCATTTTGAAACGGAAAAAGATAACTTATTTCTGTTTTCGCCAAAATGTTTGTCTATCAAATGCCTTTAAAATGATGTTTAACATAACATATGTTTACATTTGATAATTCCGAGATTTGAACTAGTGACCCTCAGTTTTCGGCACACCCTGTATTGCGAAAAAGTTAAAAATATTTTTACGTTATTCCTTGGGGTCAATTTAGCGGGAAATAATTTTATTTCATCCTTGTACGTTAAGCCGTTTTTCCGTAATCAATTTGAGACACCTCTCCTGAGACACCCTGTATATATATATGTGTGTGTGTGTGTGTGTGCCCGTTAGCACAATAACTCGAACAAAAATAATCCGATTTTGATGAAAATTTGTATAAACGTGTTAAACTACATTTATTCGAACGAGTTCGCGAACCAGCATGATCGGACCATGGGAACGGGGGTTTATGGGGGGTTTTATGGGATAAAAATGCTTTTTTTCCATTTTTGACCCTAAAAACACACAATTTTGGAATTTCTTTCCCAAACCATTTTGTAGAGCTTAAAAAAAGAAATAATTTAGTATGTTGAAGCATGATTGTATGCCTAATGGTTACGGAGAAAATTCAAAAAAGTGCAAATTTTACATTCCCATGTTATTCTTATGGAGAAATAAAAACTGTTGTAGTTTATTTGTTTATAGATACTGTATATTTTGATAAAATTTGGCAAATTTATTTATTTCATCCTATACTATTGACGTTTGATCAAAAAACACTGTTCACCTTCCCCGTAGCAGCAAACCTAAGCACTCATTAAATCTAATGTTATTTAAATTGGGAATAAATATGTCTTATTTATGGAAATATTTTGTAATCAGACAAGTTGAAATTCGCTTAGTCTGCAGGTTTGCTGCGGCGGGGTTATTATTATTTTCTATCTAATAAAATAATTGGATTTGCAATTTAAATTGTCGGTAGCAAATCCATGACGGGTTGTGCTCTGTGTTTTAAAAGCAGAAGAAAATTTTCAGATTTCATTATTATATATTTTGCGCATGTTTTACACCATGTTTTTCAACACCAACACCATGTTTTCAAGCACACTTGTCGACTTGTTTACTGCTAAGCTGATGGCGTCGATCATTAAATGGAATCATTAACTCATCAATCATGCATTTAAAGTTATTTGCGAGTGTGATAAATCGAAAATTGTCAATAATTCTAACGGGTATAAATTCGCGTGCAACTCAGTCAAGTTCCACTGTCTTCAACATGAGGGTCTTCCATCATGTTCTCGGGGTGACTGTACTGGTAAGTTTGGCCATTCTCATGCTTTATATTGCTCAACTTATGAAGACTGCTGTAAAGTATCTTTATCCCCGTGATTTATTTTATAATAACATAAAACATATCTTGAAGTCATTAGGCCAAATCTGCTCGAATACGATTAATAATATGACTTGTAAAAAATAATAAACTTACCAGACCTTATTTGTAAAGGCTAAACTCCAACAGTTATTTGCTAACAGGTGTTTGTATTATTCTGAAAATTATATTGTAGAAAACAAATTTTATTTTATTATCAATATTGCAGCTTAGAAGTAGAAGTGATAAAAGGTTATTGATATAATAAAAAGTTATATAGTTGACCCCCCCCCATTCTTCTAATCCAGTAAAGTTGAAAGATTCCAAATATTTGTCATATCTTTTAAATCTTTAAAATACATATTTGATTGTTTAAAAACCTTGCACAGAAATGGTGGAATTGTCATCACCTACAATTAGGGCTAATTGTTTATATTGTTATCAATAGTATTCACATATCGTTAATATTTTGTTCACTGGCTCTTATAATGCATACTACATTCTATACAAAACATACTATTGCTTTAGTGGTTTGTTCAAGTCACCTTGTATTACAAAATAACACTGCTTTTGTTGTATAGGAAATTATGTGTTTCCACGGAGTATTTTCATGGTATCTATTTTACACGAATACTCTAATATTACTTCAGGTTAGATACAACAAATTTTTCAAAGGTGGTTTGTAGCGTTGCGTTGTGCGCTTTGTAATTTAATATACTGGGAAGCAGATATTTATCACTTTACAATTTTTAAATTTACAGTAAAGTTTTTCAACTAGGTCTTATGATTCCGGCTGACTCAAATTCACCGTGACAAGATAAAATAGCATGATTCAACTCAATGATACATTGAATGTAATGGAACCTCTAAATGAAAATTATTACAATTTGGAAAAAAACATATCTATAACAATGGTTGTAAAACAAAAATAATAGAAAAACGAACCAATAAATTGAAAAAAGCCAGATTTTAGACAAACCAACAAAAGATTATAGGCTATGTTTTCTCTTCTGTGCTGTTCAGTGTGTGTGTGTGTGTGTGTTTGTGCGTGTGTTTGTGTGTGTCTAAATAAGAATTTTTTATTGTCGATACAAACAACAGTACAATGGATAACGAAAGAATGAATATTTACAGAACGGATCTTTTATATAAAAGCGAATTTCCGACTGTCGTAAAAGATTGTGATAAATAAAACATGAAACTACGTACCAGGTTTCAGACATAAAATGAAAGTTCTTCCACAGAACAAAATATCTGTCAAGAAGCCTCTCAGCCAAACATTTTTTTTATTTGACAAAGTGTTACTCTTTAAACAATCTTAAGCTTTGATGATCTTGCAATTGGAATATCTAGTTAGTGGTATTTTCCAGTATTTTAACTGAAATTTGTTACGTTTTGTCAATGGGAAAGGATTTACTTTAGAATATAACATTTTGTAAAATAAATGCATGGTAAGCTCATTATTCTATGGCTGATAAAAAGAGTCTTGATAGCCATTCATTCTACTTGGCATATCAAATAGTATTCTCAGTGTATTTCTCATTCACGTAAAAATCTTATTGGTACGCATTAATTTCTCCTTACATTTGTGGTAGAATTAGATTGTTCACAAAGTCTGGTACGCTGCTCAGTAAATAAATTTGTATACTTATAAACGAGGGAAAACTTTAGATGCAGTGTTAATATTATATAGCACATCAGAAAATATTTTTAAAATTAGAAATTTTATATAAATAGGCTATTTTAAATCTTAAAATATAATTAATAATATTACATAATGCCATTTAAAAAATATTAATCTCAATTTAAAACTTTTAATTTTAAACGCATTGACATTAAACCATAAATCTTTGACGGTCTCTATTGTTTAAAGGTACATCAATCAAATCATTGATTGTAACTTTTAAAAATTTAGAAAACTCAGACGTGTTTTCGAAAATAATTTAGAGGAGGCGTCCTTAGTCCTTCATATTTTCTAAATTGAACTAATACGCAAAAGTCTTATCTCACTGTCTAGCAATACATAGTTAACCATTGCTAAGCCCTCTTAAGTAAAGGACTAATATTATATGACCATCAATAATGTATAAGTCAAAAAATGGTTTGATAACATGGCAATTGGCTATTGGTTTTAAGGTGATTATGTCATCGAAAAGAGTTTGAGGTTAGATCTTAAGAGACCAAAGTCTAAATATATTTTTTAAAGAGCTAAAATAATTAGCATACATACATAACATTAAAAATATATATACAGGGTGTTTTTTTAAAAAACTTGCATCTTTATTTATGTAAAAACCGCAATAGATAGAAATATGCAGTTTGCAGGAATCATCTATTGACGTAGGGGGCCCAATTGTTTTGAATTCAACGTTACATTCACATTCCCCCCCTGCCCCCAACTATTTTTTTTAATACCGAGGTACCCCTTGTGACATATCAAATGAAAGAGCATGAAAAAAGAAAATGTTTTATGAAAAAAATGTTTAATCGGTTCATAAATTTGCGAGATATTTCCCCCCCCCCCTCCCCGGAACTTGATTTTTTTAAATAGCAAGTTACCCCTTGTGACATATCAAATGAAAGAGCATGAAAAAAGAAAATGTTTGGTGAAATTTATTTTTCATTTGATATGTCACAAGGGTGGGTACCTTGCTATTAAAAAACAAGTTATGGGTAGGGGAAAAGGGAGGTGATTATCTCACAAATTCATGAGCCGATTTTAAATTTTTTTCACAAAATATTTTCTTTTTCATACTCTTTTATTTGATATGTCACAAGGGGTACCTTGCTATTAATAAAAAATTATTTTTTTACATCAGACATTTTATTTTTTCATGCTCTTTTATTTGATATGTCACAAGGGGTACCTTGCTATTTAAAAAAATTAAGTTGGGGGCAGGGGGGGGGGAAAAGGGGGGAATGTGAATGTAACGTTGAATTCAAAACAATTGGGCCCCCTACGTCAATAGATGATTCCCGCAAACTGCATATTTCTATCTATTGCGGTTTTTACATAAATGAAGATGCAAGTTTTTTAAAAAAAACACCCTGTATATTGTTTTCACCGAACAAAATTTTTTTTCTTCTAAAACAATTATTTTTTCCAGGCATTTCTAGTATGTGAGACAGCTGCAGAGGTAAGGCACATTAGGATAATTATACTTGGTATAATATATAATTGGTAGTTGGTCCAATTAAGTTTTGTTCAACATTTTTTTGTATTAATTGATTTGTAATTTTCAAGATGGGTAAAAGTTTGGATTATGGTAAATGCAAGGGTTTTAACCAAGCATTTGTAAAGAAAACCCCCTTTATCAGGGTAACAGGAGGTTTTTTTTATCTCCAAGTCTTACATCTGTGGACCCCTTGGGCCTTAAGCAGGTTTGCTCCACACAGAAGTCCGATATCTATACAACGCACCATTCAGTCCAGTATATTGAAGCGTTGTTGTACAAAAACATGAAAGATTTCCGTGTTAGTCATTAGGTTATAGGCTAGATATATTTTTAACAAACTTGGCAAATTTATTTATTTCGTAAAATAGCCATTAACATTTCACTAAAACACGGTTTATTAACTTTACATGTAGTAGCATAACTAAGTTCTTATTAGACTTAATGTTATTTAAATTCACTTTCAAGCAAGAAAATTTTTTAAAATTTAGAATTATACGAATTATTTTTTGTTTTCCTATACATTTTTTTACCTCCCATCTAAATTAACCTTTTTCGCAACTCGAGTCTGCGCACAGGCCCTGTCTATGTAGACTTTTTCCTTTGTTATAGAAGGTATTTTTTTTGCACATTTTTCGTTTTATTTCTACAGAATATAATTTTTCTTTTGTTATCTAGTTAGTAATGTTTGCTGTATTATATTTAAGTAAAAAAAAATACAATGTAATTATATGTATATAATTTATGGGAAATAAAATATTATTTCATTTCATTTCATTTCATTATTATAAAAATATTTTAGTAAAAATCCAATAGGCAAACATAAATTCACTTAGTCTGCAGGTATGTGGAGATGGGGTATTTACCATGTAGCTTTAATAGAGTAGAAGGTTTATTGACTGTTTTGAATTACGTGCTTATTTTGTTTGGATCTGTGGATCATTTTTAGGACACTTCGTATTCAATTTGGTTCCTTTGGATAATTTTAATGTCTGTTTACTACCTCAGTTTTTTACAGCCTTCTTCAATCTGGGAAAGCGTTGTCAATTATTGTTGGGGGAAAGTTTGGCCAGGCCGGACCGATGACACATCGCAGGCAGATAGCCCCCCCATCCAAATAACCCAAAAGGTAATTTTCTAATTAGGAGCTCAGCGGTGATTTTTTTTTTTTTTAACTATCTTCCTGAATTGTTATTTACTTTTATATTACTTTTTATACTTGTTGACTAATTTGTCATAACATAAGTAGCCTTATGATTATTCAAATTCCCAATAAATTGAATATTAATTAATTTTACAGTATATTTATGACTATGATTCATCTATATAATTAATACGAGAACACGAAGTTTGTCTATTGAACTCCTCCGCCATTTCTTAACCGATTTTATCGAATGACGTCTCATTGAAAAGAGCGTGTCGCGTAGATTTGCAAACTGGCCTTACATCTTTGAAAAAGTCCCTCGGGCTCTGCCCCAGTGGCTTTGAAAGTTCCCATGTTATCCTTATGAAAAACATAATTGTTTACATTTTGATCAGCTGTATAATTTATTTTTCAATTCGATGAAATGCAATTGAGTATATTTATTTACTAGGCCGGTGGGGCACACGGAAGATTTCTCAGGTGCCGTTTGACGTCACTAACTGCTGACGTCACTAACTGCTGCGTCTGAAGAAACAGACAAATTTTATAATTTTTCTATTATTAAATTAAACTATCATAACCTAACCAAACGTGCTGATAAAGGAAAAATCGAATGAAGGTTTACTAATCTAAAAAATAGTTTTGTTCATAAAATAAAATTATAAATGCCTAAAATTCAATTTGTATATATTTTTTTTATTATAAAATTAAACTGTCATAACCTAACCAAACCAACCAAACTTGCTGATAGGAAAAAAAATTGTTGACAAAAAGTTAGTGCCACCGGCGGGATTCGAACCCAGTACGTCTGGATTATCAGCCCGCCACGCTTTCCACTACACCACAGAGGCCGATGGCTCAGATCCGTATCGTTGCGGTATTGGTGTTCCCTCAAAGTGACGTCAGCAGTTAGTGACGTCAAACGGCACCTGAGAAATCTTCCGTGTGCCGTTTCGTTTACTAGGCTATTTGAGTTTGTGTAAACATAACCCCCAAGACGGATCGTGTTAGTATGGTTGTATCTTAAATTTGTGTATTTATCGTAGTTTTGTGTCGCTATGACGGATCGTGTTAACATGATTGTAACTTAAATTTGTGCATTTATCGTTGTTTTGTGTAGCTATAATTATTTTATTTGTTGTTTTTTCTTTTAAATGCCTCCGACGCGACGACAACGAAACATAGACAGGAGGCGTTATCGTGATAACGACCGCAGCTACAGAACAGTGGCTTAACTCATCACAGTCAGCACCTGACCCTGGACAATCTCAACTATTAGGTTACAAATGCGCCCTAGCACTCCCCAAAACGAAAACAAAATTTTTTCCATTGGCCCTCTATCAATGACCTTTGTTGCCTGTACAGCGAGGCATTTTGATAAGGAGAAAACCGGCCGGAATGCTTTAGGTTTATCAATAACGAAGATAAACATAGACAACCTTATATGGCTATAAGTCAGGAAATGTTTGTAGAAAACATTAAAAAGCAATACCAGGCTATGAAATATGATACAATATTTACAGGAAATGTTGATTACTGTTATATACATCGTGAGTGTCTCCATGAGTTACACACCGGTAATCTTTGAGTTGACTCTTTTCCACTCATTGTAAATATGACTGTTATTCGTTTTGAAATAACTCCTGTAATACTTTGCAATTGCTTGAATTTGAGCAAAATGTACTCTAGTATGATATTATATTAGTTCTGTAATTTGAGTTTTTAAGTACGATTGATGAAAACATAGAAAGAAATAATATCTTGTAAGTTGATAGCTATACAGATCATTTCTCAACATTCTTCACTCACCCGTTATTCATTTGTTGGTTATAATACGCACCTAGGTGGCGTTCCCACTCAATGATTAATAATCGATTGATAATGGAATGGCGATGAAAAAACTGGAAAATGAGTTTAATAGGAGTGTGAATCTAAATAGAACAGTAATTTTCTTTAGATCATTTCGAAACTATCACATCATGACCTGAGAGGAGTATATAAGCACTTCAACAATGGACGTGTTGTTGGCTAAATGTATATTTACAACCCTAGGGAAAATAGCTCGTTAATCTGCAACAAACATTCCATGCATATTAAATATATAAATTTTAGACTATATAAGTAATAAGAATTTACTATGATCTGACAATGGAAAAGATTTTGATCCATTCCAATAACAATTTGAAGAATACATTTTTATATTTAAGGATCTAGGATTTTCTATGTCGTAATTTACAAACTCTTTTACTAGGTTGAACTTGTTTATAGGCTACTAACTACAGATATAAAATACCTATCTTATTAATATTTTTTTTACAGACGGAAGATATTGATTTATTACTGTATGCAAAAACTGTAAGTTATTAAAACCCATGAGTTGATATAATACGTTTAAGCATGTGTAAATACGTTATTAAGTTATTTTATTAAAAGTGGTGCACTAATAAATAAAAACTGATTATAGGTATCTAAGCTATCAAGAACTTTTTGAGGAGATATGGTGCCGCTGATGGCCATTTTGTAGTGTCCTGCCATGGATTATGCCAAAATGAACAAAATTTGTGAGAACAAATTTGTACTGTATAGTTTCCATATTTCCAACCATATGAAACTGGCTAAATTATATGTTTTATGTATTTCTTTCTTTACAAACAAAATTGGTTCTACTTAAAGTAAAAAAAAAACAACAACAAAAAACAATAGCTGAATTCATTAGTATGGAGCTGATGGCAAAACTAAATAAGCTGCACCACTGACTAGACTAGGACACCTTATCAACCTTGCTCTAAATTCAGATATCTAGCTCATTGTTAGTAGTTAACCTATCATTTAAGTTACTTAACTACTAAATGTTTTTAGAGTGATTTTAATCTAATTGGACCAAATTGTCATTTTAAATTCACTTACAACAGTGCGTCATTACAAATTTAAACAATGAATGCAATTCCTCCAATGGTCACATGATATAATGGCTTGATATAATTGAAAAAATACATGTCATAATTAGATATCATAGACGCTAACACAAAAAGGAGTAAAATATGAAATAGCTTTGTGACTGATGGAAATCAAAAACGAATTTAAGGTTCATTTCATGGATAATCTGTTTTGAGTAGCGCTATAATTGTTGCATGAAATGCAAAAACAATTCAAATATGTTTGAAAATCTGTTTCAGGTGTACGAAAAACAAGACATTAAGGTGAGTATAATCCTCTAGTCTTTAGTTTCCCACCTCTTCTTATACAAAGAAACTGTGGGGGGAATCTGATCTATACAATATAGTCTTTAGTCACACACCTTATCATGTACAACAGAGATTCTGTTAAGGGGAGTCTCGTCCTTACAATCTATAGTCTTTAGTTTAAACATCTCTTCATATACAGAGACTCTGAGAAGGGGAGTCTAATCCTTACAATCTATAGTCTTTAGTCTACACACCTCTTTATATACAGAGATTATGTGAAGGGGAGTCTCATCCTTACAATCTATAGTCTTTAGTTTACACACCTCTTTATATACTGCGAGTCCCATGCCTCACTTTAAGTTTAAGTTTCCTAAATGTTACACTCGCTTAGCTTAGTCAAGAGGTGTTAGGTTAATGAGACATAAGACTGCTTAAGGGTGTTACTCAACGTGTAATGAACAAAAATTTAAATTTAGAAAAACAACAAAAGTAACAAAGTGTACAACAGCAAAAGAAAACTTAGAAAAGGCAAATATCAACAATAATAAGATAAATTAAATTACAACGTTAAATTTACAAGAAAAGAAAATCAATTGAAAATATAAAAGAATTAGTTACTGACAAATTATATGACTTTTATGTTTGACAAAGTTTTAGTTAGATATTTTATTCTTTCTACATACTGTCTATTGTCCCAGAAGCACACACACCGATACACGCACTCGCAAACTCCCGATCTTCTTTCTCCGGTGGCCCGTGGTGATCTCCTCGATGTTTTCCTTCAGATCCTCCAGCTCCAAGAGTCGTCACCCCTCCATCTTCTTCATTAGCCCTTCTCATTGGCTGATTACCGATAGGGTGTGTGGCTTATAGGTTAACGGTGTTTCTTGGAAGTCAGCCCTACCGGTCATCGCCTAGCTCACATCAGCTGGGAAAGGAATTTGTAAATCGATGCTCATGCTACTGTTCAACTCTGTTCACACCAACTGGTCGACTAAGTGTAATGTGAACAGAGTGTCTGCATAGATGAGCACCGTGGGTACGGGGTTAATCCCCTTTCTTACACCCCCCTGGTTAAAACGTCAACCTACCACCGGTTGACAATAAAAAGAAAAAAAAAACAACTTAAGGAGATACGCGGAAACATCAATCGCGAAGGTGGGAATCGAACGGATATCTTGATGTGCGTTCCGACTCTTCTTCCCCCCTTCCTGCGACGCGACGCGATCTTGAGGATCGGCGCATTTTCTTGTTTCGCGACCCTTCCAGCGACGCGGTAGAATGAGCTGGTGGTGTATAGCTCATAGTCGCTCACGTCTTCTTTCGCCCCATCGAGTCTCCTTAAGTTAATTGATTGTTTCATTAATTTTGAACTATTTAAATATTAGCTGTTTGTTAAGATGTTTTTATTTTTTTAAATTATTATTATAAATTATTTTTTTGATGTTGAGATTATAAATGAATTATTCTGGGTAACACTTTGTTATATTAATAATCTTTTTGAGGGGTATGAGGTTTTGTGATTAGATTCGTTTTAATATTGAGTATGTGGATGAAATATGCTGAAATAATGAGTAAGATTGTTAATATTATTTTCCAGACTAATAAAATGTGTGATGAGATTCAGGGATCGATTGGGTTATTTTAGTGGCGCGACAGAATGATATGGAGTTACGAATGACGAGACCTCGTTAAATGTTACGCCGGTCACGATATGCGTTGGAATTTCCGCGCCAGCTGACTGAGTAGGTTGCCATATGAGAAGGATAGCGGCGAGCAGGGCTGGGACGGCGACATGTGCAGCATCACGGCGTCGGGGTTGAATGGACTGCGAGTGCTGACTATGCGATGGCGATGAAGTCATGTCGTGTTGCGGTGACCTTGTACTTGCTGTTGGCTTCAGGGACTCTTTTACTGCTGAAACTTACTTAACAGTGGAATTATTACATGTTGTAATAGTTTTTTTCACAAATGTTGGTACTTGGTAACATACAATTTTAATCGATTCATATGCTTTCCCTACTAAGACTATCTATCTACTTATTGTAATGAATATTTAGTTGTTTGAAATTTATGTTACATGGAACTTAAAATATGACACTTGAATGATACCTGATGTTGTTAGACACATAATGTTCAAAATGGTATTTGGTTCACAATTACTTTATGACGACACTTTGTTATAGGAGTTTTGAACATAAATGTTTTATTTTAATTATTTATGAATTCTTGCGTGAAAGTCCTTTCTTTCCTTAATAATCTAGAGAGTTGTAAAGAAAATTGTTTGAGTGAATAATTAAGGGTGATCAATCCTTAATTACATCTCGTTGAGTGGAGTTTGTCCTTGGGCTGTACACCAAACCAACTTGTATGTCACTGAATGTCACTAATTATCATTCATCTTACGCGCACTAGTCAAATCACTAAGTGTCCAACGTGTAAGTAAGTTGCTCGTTACAAGAACTAAAAATACAGTTACAATGGTAAACTTGATTGCGATTGTCTGTGTGTGTCTGCGTGGCCACGCGATATCTTTGTATTAAAAGTCGACTTAACACTTGAGTTTTGTGTAGCTACACATTATTTACATAATATTTACACGAGTTTGCGGGAGTGCGTGTGCTTCGGGAATAGACGTACTAATTGTTTCTTAGAATACACATTGCTTACGTATGACTAATTAAACCTAAGTGAATACTAGGTAAGGTCAAAGCATATGAATCATATATGTATTGTGGTTAATCATTTTGTGTAGCAATAAATTAAAATAAGTTAAATGGCTAACTTGTGAAATATATTTATGAATAATTATTGTATGTTACCAAAATTATCTTATAAAATAAACATAGTATCTATTGACCTAACGTAACTAAATATTTTTATTTTACAAGTCTTGTTTGAAAAACTTTCATTCGGGAGACATGAATTACTTCTTTGACAAGTTTTCCATTTTTTAAGATTTCCACTAGATATGAGACTGGTGTAACTTGTTTTAATACAGTATAAGGACCTTTGTAGCGGTAAGAAAATTTGGTTTGATTTTCCCGCAAATTTTTAGGGTACCATATGAGAACTTGGTCTCCTGGGTGTAAGATTAAGTCTCTCCTATTCCTATCGAAATACATTTTTTGTTTCTTTTGTTCACTAGCTATGATAGAAGGTATTGTGTCCCTAATTTCATTTACAATTCTTAAGTTTTCTAACAGATCTTTTTCTACATTTGGATTTACAAACAAAGTATCACTTGGAAAACTTGGCTCAAAGCCTAAAAATAAGTACGAAGGTTTGTACTTGGTTGTCTGGTGTTTACTGTTATTGTAAGCAAAAAGTACATAGTCAATGTATTGTGACCATGCGTTTGGTTTTTCAGCTACATAATGAGAAATCATATTTATCAACGTGTTATTAAAGTTTTCTACTTGTCCATTTACTTGTGGTGTGAAAGCACTACTTAGAATTTGGCATGTACCTATTGCTGTGGTTAAGTCACGAATCAAATTGTTGTTAAATTCAGTACCTCTATCTGATAGTATAATAGAAGGTGTTCCATAAGTACAAATTAGTTTTAAGAGACATTTTACAATTGATTTACCATCTGCAACTACAAGTGGGAAAGCAAATGCAAATCGACTACAGGCATCAGTTACTGTTAAAATGTATTTATATCTATTGCTAGGATTTAATGGACCAATTATGTCAAGTTGGATTCGTTCAAATATTTTGTTAGTGGGAGGGATAGGATTAAGGAAGCCATACTTCTTCTTCGGAGAGTTCTTTCTTTTCTGACAACTTTCGCAGGTTTTCACGTAGTTTTCGACATCTGTTGACATACCAATCCAATGATATCTTTCTTTGATTTTTCCGAGAGTCTTGAATGTACTTAGATGTCCTCCTGATAACGGTGAATTGTGGTACTCCTGAAGGATGTTGTTGACGAGTTTTCGTGGTATTGCTATAACATGTCTGTGAGGATCAGAATCGTTGTACATTCGGTAGAGTACACCATTCTCCGTCTTGTAATACGTGGCCATTTTCCTGTACTTTTGTTCCACAAGATCAGGATTTTCCAAAGCAAGTAAGATGCATTTTAGATCATCGTCCTGAGCTTGCAATTTCTTCAAGTCCACGAGATGAAGGGCATTTACTGAAGTAAGGTTGAAAGTGAAATCCTCTTCTATAGTCTTGTCAACCGGATTTCTGCTTAAGAAGTCAGGCAAGACTAAGGATTTACCTGCCTTGTGAGTAATTTCCAGGTCGTAGTCACATATTAAATTCGAGAGTCTGGTGAGTCTAGATGAAGCTCCTTTAAATGATTTATAATATTGCAATGCAGAATGATCAGTGAAAACCTTTACTTTTCTTCCGAATAAAAATTCTCTCCATTTTACCAATGCATAGACTAAGGATAAGAATTCTTTTTCTGAAACGCTGTAGTTAACTTCATTTGGTTTTAGTTTTCTACTTAAATACTGAATAGGATGTTCTGTAGATGTTTCTGGATCATACTGGGTCATTACTGCTCCAATAGCATAATTTGATGCGTCTGTGTACACTATGGTCTCTCTGTGTTCTACGAAGTGGCTGAGAAGTGGCGGTGAGGTGAGAATCGTCTTGAGTTCCTGGAATGAAGTCTCACAGTCGTTTGTCCATTGAAACTTCTTCGTTGCGTTGAATTCCTTTATGAGTGTTGTTAAGGGCATGGCTATTTTTGCAAAGTTTTTAACAAATCTACGGAAGTAATTTGCAGCTCCAAGAAATGATCTTACTTGTTTAATGGTAGTTGGGGTTTTAAATTTAATTATGGATTCTATATTTGTTTTTAATGGCAAACAGCCTTTAGAACTTACTTCATGTCCAAGTATGTTTATTTTATCGTACATGAATTGACACTTTTTTGAGTTAAGCTTTAGGTTAACATTGTTTAGCTCTTGTAAAATAATTTCTATGTTTTCCAACTGTTCGTCAAATGTTTTTCCTAACACGGTGATGTCATCAATGAATGGTATGCATCTGCT